TTGCTTTAAAGTAAAACATAAATTTACAAAGACATCCTCGTCACGTGCCTACCAAGAAGGACCAAAGTTGATCATCAAAAACAACTTTAGACCTTTGTCAGCTTAGCGATGGCATCATAGGAATTACATAAAAAAACTTTACTAATTCTCATTTATTTGCCTTCCCATGATTTGCCATCCAGCACCCAGGATATTTTTTCTTTATCTTCTCAAAATTTTATTGGTCTTTGTAAAAGATGTTATGTAAGGCATAGTTCTAAGCAACCTCTTTGAGATTTGTGCATATTTCTTTCTGTACTTTCCATGCATAAATGAGGTATATCTGTTGATAACATGTTTGTTTCTCTCCTGTTAATCTGAATTCTATTATAGGACCCTATCTCAGCACACAACTCAGAAGAGTAGGCAGAAAATTATTTTTCCTCCCCTACAGAGTTCCTCTATTTTATTAAAATGCTACCTTGCATGAATCTTTTCTAAAAAATATTTAATTGCTTTGCAGTTTCTGCTAGCAGGATATACGAACCTAAACTGAGACGTATTTGTTTAGAGGGAGGATTTATTTGCATTAATTGTTGTACATGAAAGAAAGTGACTGTGAGAAGGAGATTTTGAGTGTCTGAACCTGATAGGAAGGGAGAGGATATAGAAGGAAAATGAGGACATCAAGAGAATAGCTTAGTGGTTGACTTTCCATCTGTGGTGTGGTTCTTAACCCCAGTGCAGTGAATTAGACCTGACACCTATAGAGAAAAAGAAGGCCTCAGACAAAAGCATTAGAAACTAAAAGGCTTGTAAAAAAAATGGGAGACAGGGAGAACTAAACAGGAAACAGACTGTGACACATGGTAGGGACAGGGAGCCTTCTCCTCATTTCTGCACAAAGTTCCCAGCCACTGCCAAGGTTTGAAGGGTCATCACTGCATCTAGTACAGTGCAAGGGGAGCTATGGCACAGCAGCGGTAAGGAGTGCAGCCACACCCAAGGGAACTCTGGAGTGTGCAAAGAAGTCCGTAACCAGCAAGAGGCTGCTCCGTCATATCCGGAGGGGGAGGATTTGTGAGGGAGTGCATGGAATAAAAAATGATTCAGGAGTCATACTGATTTAAAAAATATGAGAGACTCCCAGAAATGCTTCAAAGATGGCTGCTACATCTTTGTAAGACCCTTTGTAAGGGTCTGAGAGAGAAATAACTAAAAAATCAAGAATAAATTCACTGTTAATACGAGTCATAGTGCATAGGCCTGGTAAAATCCAGTGATGTTTATAATTTTAACTACTCTTATCATTGTTAATTGGCTTCAACGTTATTGAACAGAGACTGCTGATTAAAAATAAAACTCTCTGTGGTTTCATCACCTAACACAGCAGTTACCAGGTACTCAATGTGCAGTTGGCGAATAAAGAGCTATCTCCAGTAGGCAAGTTTAGAACAAACAGATGGAGACTATAGGAGTATAACTCAATGTAAAATACCCTTCTCACAGTTAGAATTATTCATCAGTGGAGGTCCATCATGACACACGGATAATCTTATCACTGGAAAGCTAGTGAAGGATGTCCTGGAGGAGGTACATATTTCATGTAGAGAGAGAGTGATAAGGTTTAGATTAAAAGAAATGTCCTCGCAAAGGCTCATGGGTTCACAGGTGGAGCTTCTAGAAGGTGATTTGATCACAGGGACACTAACCTCAGCAATGGATTCATCCACTGAGGCAGTCAGAGCTGAGTGTGCTAGTAGGAGGTGTGATACCTGGGTGGAGGATGTAGGTCATTGGAGGCAAAACCTGGGAAATTATCTGTCTGTCTATCTATCTCTCTATCTCTCTATCTCTCTATCTGTCTATCTATCTACCTATCTACCTATCTATCTATCCTTGACTCTTTCTTGCTTTCTTTGTTTCTGCCATAAAGTGAGTAGCTTTACCCCAGCATGCCCTTTCACCACGATGCCTCTTTATTGGGTCCAGCTCACCATGCATTAAACCTCTGAAGTCATGAATCCAAATAAACCTTTAATCCTTTAAATTGCGTATGTCAGATATTTGGCCACAGTGATAAGAAGTTAACAGAGAGCAAACTGCTCCCTGCTCTTAACTTTCTTGGTATTCACTGCATGAAGAACAAGAGGAGCCCCGCTATGACAAAGGAGTTAGCTGCATAAGACACTAAGCAGCAATAAGATTGGTGGGTTTTTTTTCTTAAGCCTTTAAGGACTGTCTATAAAAATCAGCAAGCTCACACTCAAGTTCATCACAATTGAAATAGTACCCTGAAATATTGACACATGAAGCCACAGAAATCAGAAATACATAGTATCGCTGAATGATGTTCAGAGGACTGAAGTACTTAATGGACATTATCTATAGCAAGGATGTTGAGTGATGAAAGGTTAAAGGAAAGATTTACACTGTGTTGAGAACAGGCTGTGATTTGTAGAGCCATAGCCTATTCAATGTCCCTGCCAAGCCACTGGCAAAGTAAATGCTAGAGCCACTTGTCTTTATTCCTTTAACTTCCAATAAGTGACAGAGGAAATCTATATCTACAAGAGGAAAATTACTAGACAATGAAGGAAAGGTCTTCTGAGATAAATGAACATTTTCCATTAATTGAAAAGCCATAAATAGAATGGTAAAGAGGACCATCTCATAATGTGAAAGTTCAAAGGCACTTCTTAGATGTCTCTTTAAAGAAAACTTTGCAGTTTTTTCTTTCTTATTTTATGATCAGGAAGTTTTCTAAGAGCAGTCTGGGTCTTGGGTCATTTCATTTTGACATGGAAGTTCTTTTAGCCCTAAAAATAATCAAATGACCAGAGATATTTAACTTGGAAGTGCCCACAAGAATATATTCAGAAATATAAAAAATAACAATAACGAAGCATTAGTATTTCAGAGGTTGTGTTTTAAACTCCATGAAGTTCCCTCCCCAAGTATGAGAAATATAATTTATATAAGGTTGTCATTAGCTAAAGAAAGTAGCATAAATAGATATTTTTTTCTAGTGCATTTAATGTTATTTTGCAACATTCTATTTAGGGAAAATTCTGGGTGTACCATTAGTAACTCCCTATACTGAAATATCTTTGTTACGAACAGATTATCCGACATCAGATATGTATGTAAACATAAATACATTTTCATGAATATAAAAATCTTTTGTAAAAGGGCTCCTTTTTTCACTTTAACTTCCATTTTAAGGTATAACTGATGGAGTGAAATCCACTCTTTCTAGTGTAGAGTTCTGTACATCTTGACAAGTGCAGTTGTAAAACCACCACTACAAGCAAGATGGGCTACATCACAGTCCAAATCTCTGCACCCTTTGCAGTTGACCTCTCTGTATTTCTCCAGCCCCTGGTAACTACTGATCTACTTTCTGTTTTTTGTAATTCTGATTTTTCAAAAAAACTATATGAATGAAATTAAACAGCATATAATAGAGGCCCTTATGCACTTGATGTAAAGTATTCATTTTAATTTCTATCTTCTGAAGCAAAAGGCAGTAATAGATATAGTCAAATTGTACTTTAATATGACATCTTAAAAAGGTGTTACCTAGATAGTCTTTTGGATATATAGACTGGTAAGACTTTACTTTCAACCTATTAGATCAGTATTTCTCAGTGTGTATCTTGGGAATTTAGCTTTTACTAAACTCTCTACTTGATTCTGATTGATTAACCAGATTTGGGAAACATTAAGACAAGAGATTTTTACTGCACAGGATTAGGTACCAGATTTTAAATTGTGTGAGGCCATGGGGTCAAAGTTCAGAGGATGAGAGAGGTGATCTTGCTCTTGGATGTGGGGCTACTGCTTACTGACTTCAGGGCCTTGAAAAAGATCTTTAAACTTGCTGAACCTGAGTTCTTGCCTCTATCCTGCAAGAGGAGCAGTGTCTATACTAAAAGACTGCTTCAGAGATTCCGTGCATATAAAATACTCGTCATAGTATCTGGCACATTTATTGAATGGAAGCCCTTCACAGTTCTGGTACAGGTGTAAGGCTCACCATCACTGTCATACTCCTCACCATCCTGGGCACTATACTGGCCTTTCTCCAGAGCTCTGTATTTTAGCCATTTTTATTATTTTTATCACTTCTTCCAGAGGTAATCAAAGTAAAAAGAATGAATTTTTGGAGAACATCTAGGGCAGGACGAAGGTCAGAGATATTTTCTGGTTGTCCCTAATCTCACTTTTACTGTTATAGTTTCAAAGATGACAAGAATGACAAACAGCAAATTACTGGGGGCTCACACGCAGGGGATGTTACAGGCCAAATAGGGAGGAGGAGAGATAAAGGGTCAGAATAAGGCAAAAACCTAGTTTTCTACATAATTAGGGGATATATGAGAATTAAGTCAGAGATGGTGCCACACATATGTAATTCCAGCATTCTGGGGGGTTGGGGCAGAAGGCTCACAATTTGGGCAGCTTAGCAACTTAAGGAGACCTTGTTTCAAAATTAAAAATAAAATTACAAAGGATTTAGGATATGCAGAGCATGAAGACCTCAGGTGCAATCCCCAACAGCACAAAAATAAATAAATAAATAAAGTTGACTTTATTTATTAGCTGTTTCAGACAAATTCATCAAGAAATTGAAGCTCGTGATTAAAAATTTTTTTTTCTTCGCTGTTACTCTATATTAACCATCACAAAGAACTTGGATTTCAAATTCAGAAATCAGCAGAATACTTTAAGATCTATTTCAAATCATTATAAGGTTGAGGAAAAATGGACACTAAAAACTAAAGAGAAAATTTTCATTATATTGCAAGTGCTATGTAAAATTTAGTCTTAAAAATTGTTTGCAAGCTAGATGTATACTCATTAATTTTTTCATCTAGAGTTTTTATTTAAGCTTTGAAATAGAAAGAGCAACATGTGACTGTACTTACTGATATACATATTCTCAGAGAATTAAGCAACACTGCTAACACGAAGGGCCAAAGAGCATCAAATGAAAACATAAATCCCACAGGCCCTACCTGCTCTCAGCATCACCGCTGCACTTTGGGGACATCAATTCAAAGGATTTGGTAAACTTCACCACCTGTCACACGAAAAAACAGTAAATCCAGGTCAATTAAAGGGTGTAAAATAATGCAATAAACATTTTTCATCTTAAAGCTGATTATTACAATAACTAGGGATTAAAGAAAGATTAAAAAAAGAAAGATTTTAAGTGGGGAGATCCCGAGGGAGAGAAAAAGAGTATTCTCTTCTATATTTTGTATTTTACTTCTTACATAGCATACATTGCCAAAATTGTAGTATACCTATGTATATTTTTTACAGTGAGCTGTAATGGTCAGGCAAAGAGACATCACTTTTGGATACTGTTGGGGTTGTGTGCTTGGTGAGGAAACCCGCCCACAATTTTTAATTTTGTGCTCAGTTTCACAAAATTAAATGAGGCAACTAGGATTGAAGCAAGTCTGCCTGACCTTAGAGGGGGAGCTCTTTTAAACAACACTTCAAGTGTTGATTGAGAAAGGTACAATTTTTGGTCCTATTTTGACAAAATATAGTCCACCATATGATGCAAAAACACATTCCCTGTGCTTGAAGGAATACAGCTGAATGTTGCTGGATTTTTCCAAGGTTGATACTTCGATCTGTCTTAGCCAGATGCAGTCATGCTTCAAAGGCCTTTTAAATTAATCATTTGCAATGAATTGATGGGCACTTGAGAAAATGACTTGCAAAATGAGAATAGATTAAATATTAAAAGTTTTATCAGTGGGGCAATGGGTCCACAGGAGGAAAATACAACATAAGAAAAGAAGGAATAAAAGAAATAAAGGAATAAAAGAAACACCCATCTCAAAGACAAGTGTGTGTGTGATTAGCTCCCTGTGCACAGTGACGACAGCTCAGTTACAAGGAAATAACCTTGACAACCATAGAACGTATTTTGTTTCATACTGTAATGTAAAATAAGCCTCTACAGAATCACTCTGTTCAAGTTTTATTTCCCAGAGATGGCCACAATAGTATCTCCTATTTCACTTTCTTTTCTATAATGTGATCGTGCCTCCTTCCCACTAAGCAGTGGAATCTATATCCCTTCATCTGGAAAGGTCCTGACTGCTTTAACCAATAGAGTACTCAGGGGATAAGCTAGATGCCTCTCAAAGTGATCATAAAAGGCAATGCATCTTCTGCCTTGTCTGATGGGATACCTGCGTCTGGCTGTGTGAGTCACCGTGTAAGAAGGCTGAGTACTTTGAAGCCTCTATGCTGAAAGAGAGCTAAAGCACGTAGAGAGGCCATGTGCAGATGCTGTATCTTGCAGCTCCAGCTGTGCCAGTTGGGTGTGTTTGTTTATGTGTGTTTGTGTGTGAGCGTGTGTGTGTATTACCGAGTATTGAACCTAGGGCCTCATGCATGGTAGGCAACTGCTCTACCACTGAGCTACATTTCCAGCCCTTTTATTTTTTTATTTTGAAATAGGTTGGCCAGGCTGGCCACAAACTTGCAATATCCTGTCTCAGCCTCCCAAGTTGCTGAGATTACAACCGCAAACTTTAAAACAGCACATGACAGGCACTACATGTATAAGTAAACAATTTTCAGATGATTTCAGCTCCCAGTCATTAAGTCAGCTCCAGTGTTAAAGTTTTCCTAACTGTAGCTTCAGATACCATCCCTGCTATGCCTTATTTAAAGTCCTACCGACGGGATGTATGAGCAGAATAATTTAGCTGGTTCAAATCTCTAACTTGTGGGATTGTTACAGCAAAAGTAACTGTAATACCTAAGAATTTAAGCAGAAGCAAATCACTTAGAAATCTTGATTCAGCTTCAATATTTTTAGATTTTAGAAAGCAAGCAAGACATAAAGAGATTATTTGCTATCTCCAAATAATAAATACTCCAACCTATATCATAAATAATTCTTAGAGTTATAAGACTAATAGAATAAAAAAATAGAAGGATTTCATTTCTATTTACAGAGTAGAATACTGTCATAGATACTAAATAAGGGAGTTAGTGGGTACTGAAGACCACAAATGCAGGACCATCAATCGAAAGAAGCTGCTATGCAAGACAAGCAATGAAAGGGCAGAAAGACAAGGAACAAATAACAAGGAAACAACATGAAAAAGAAAAGCTAATACATGTTAGTTATAACAATCAGCGTAAACGGGCTGAACTCACCAAAAGAAACAGACTGGCAGAATGGATCAACAAGCAAATCCAACTATATACTGCATTCAAGAAAAGCACTTAACCCAAAAAGAAACTCACAGACTTAAATTCAAAGGATGGAAAACAATTCTCCATGCCATAGAAATCCAGGAAAAAGCAGGGGTAGCTATTCTGTTTGCAGACAATGCAAACTTCATGCCAAAACTGATCACTACATACTCGGTAAGGGAAAACTCCAAGAAGAGATAACGATCATAAATATTTATGCACCCAACATAGGTTCACCAAACTAAATAAAACAAATATTAACTGATTTAACACTGGAGCTGACTTAATGACTGGGAGCTGAAATCATCTGAAAATACAACATAAGAAACATATGGGATGCAGTGAAAGCAGTTCTATGAGGGAATTTATAGCAATGAACTCACACATCAGAAAAACAGAATGAGCTCAAATAAACAACCTAATATTGAACCTTAAACTTCTGGAAAAAGAAGAACAAATCAAATGCAAAATTCATACAAGAGAAGAAATTATAAAGATAAGAGCAGAAATTAATGCAATACAGACAAAGAAAACAATACAAAAATGAATCAAAAAGTGGGTTCTTTGAAAGAATAAATAAAATTTATAAACCATTAGCCAACTTCACCAAAAAGAGGGAAAAAAAGAACACAAATTCAAGCAATGAATGAAAAGGGGGAAATAATAACAGATCCCATAGAAATCCAGGAGATCATAATACGTAGTATGAGAACCTATATTCTAATAAGACAGAAAACTCAGAAGAAGTAGACAGATTCCTCAACAAAACTGAATTGCCAAAACTAAATCAAGAAGATATAAAAATTCTAAATAAGCCAATATCAGCTAATGAAATTGGAAATGTAATTTAAAATTTACCAACAAAGAAAAGCCCAGGCCCTGAAAAATTCCCTGCTGAATTGTACAAGAAATTTAGAGAGGAACTAATGCTACTAATGCTAAAACTCTTTAAAGAAATTGAAAGGCAAGCAATACTTCCAAAAGCATTCTTGGAAGCAAGAATTATCCTGATTCCAAAACCAGAGAAAAACCCAACCAAGAAAGAAAACTACAGGCCAATCTCCCTAATGAACATTGATGCAAAAATGCTTAATAAGATACTTGCAAACAGAATGCAACAAATCATCAAGAAAATTATGCATCATGACTAAGTAGGGTTCAAACCAGGGATGCAAGGATGGTTCAACACATGCAAATCAATAAATGTAATACACCACATTAGCAGACAATAAGACAAAGACATCCACTATCACAGCTCCTATTCAATATAGCTCAGGAAACAAATTAGACAAGAGGAAAAAAAGGAATAAAGATAGGAAATGCAGAAGTTGAATTATCATTATTTGTTGATGACATGAAACCCTAAGTAGAAGACCTTGAAAACTCCACCAAAATACTTATAGATTTAATATCCAAATGCAGTGGTGCAGTGTGATACAAAGTCAACACTCAAAGTCAATAGCATTCCTGTACACAAACAGCAGACTCACTGAGAGGGAAATTAGAAAAAGCACAACATTTATGACAACACCCCCAAAATGAAATACTTAGGAATCAATGTAACAAAGGATGAAAGATCTATACAATGACAATTACACTACCCTAAAAAAGGAGATTGAAGGGGATTTCAGAAAATGGGAAGACATCCCTTGCTCTTTGATAGGAAGAACCAACATAGTGAAAAAGGCCATACTCCCCAAACTGCTATATAGATTTAATGCAATCCCAATCAAAATACTTTTACCATACCTCACAGACCTAGAGAAAACATTCCTGAAATTCATTTGGAATGAGAAAAGGCCTAGAATAGCAAAAGCAATTCTGGGCAACAAAGGCAAGTCAGGAGGTATCGCAATTCCAGACCTGAAATTATACTACAAAGCTACTGTGACAAAATCAATGTGATATTGGCAAAAGAACAGACCTGAAGATCAGTGGAACAGAATAGAAGATGCAGACACATCCCCCAAATGCATTCAGCCACATTATCTTTGACAAAGGAGCCAAACATGTTCACTAGAAGGACAGTCTCTTTAATAAATGGTGCTGGAAAAACTGGATCTCCACATGACAAAGACTAGAACTAGACCCGTGTCTATCACCATGCACTAAACTAAAGCCAAAATGGATCAAAGATCTAAATATTAAAATAGAAATACTATATATCCTGGAAGAGAAAACAGGCAGACATCTCAAAGACTTAGGTGTAGGCAGAGACTTCATGAACAAAATCCACACTGCAAGGGAAATATTATAAAGAATCAAAAAATGGGATCTCACCTTATCAAAAAGCTTTTACACAACAAAAGAAATCTTTAACAGAATGAAAAGACAACCCACAGAGTGAGAAAAATTATAACCAGTTGTCCTCCAGACTAAGGACTTATATCTAGAACATATAAAAAATTGAAAAAAGTCAGACGTCCCAAATTCAAAGACCCAATCCAAAAATGGGCATCTGAGATGAATACACATTTCTCAGAAATACAAGTGGCACATAAATACATGAAAAAATGTTCAACATCATTGGTCATTTGAGAGATGCAATTTAAAACAACAGTGAGATTCCATCTCACCCCAGAAAAAATGGCTATCATGAAAAAATCAACCAACAACAAATGCTGGAGGGGAAAAGGAACCCTTCTCCACTGCTGGTAGGAATGTAGACTGGGACAACCATTGTGGAGATCAATGTGGAGGTTTCTTTAAAACCTTGGATTAGTGATCCCATTTGAACCAGATATTCCTCTTCTGGGTATCTTCCCAGAAGAATTGAAAACACCACATCATAGTGATGTGTGTGCACCCATGTGTATAGCAGCAGAATTTGTAATAGCTATATCTTGGAAA